GAAGCCAACGCAATTTGGCAATGCGAAGACGCATTGTTCAGCGAATCTAGATAATGCAAAGGAATGACCCGCGCGAGGGAATGCGTGGCGCAACTGTCAGCGGCTGCCAGTGGTTGCCAGAACGCACTGCCAACGTTGCCAGCAGTGCACTTGCTGGCTATCTGATTCCGTGATTTGATAAACTGAAGAAGGCTGTCAGCGCTATAAATCTGGCCAATAAATCCTCTTTCTCTCACTCTATTATCTGTTCCATTCCTAAAGGATTATTATATCATCTAAAATGCATTCTTAGGCTATTATCAAGATTTATCAGACTTCTAAATTCAATACTACAGAGCTTTAGGAGTCATAATTTGTAATTTATAAGCGACTCTAACCACTTCGACTATGACAGAAATTATCTGCAATTTGAAATGGCTTTAAAATATGTAGTAACTGACCAATACAATTGCAGTAAAACAACACTACGAGAGTTGGCAAGGGTGGCAGGGAGAGATCTGATGCATAATATCTTTTTATTATATTATTTGCACTAACTTACACCAGCAAATATGTTTTCATGCCAGGTTTACTGAGCTCTTGGCAGATCAAGCGTAACGCGTTTTACTATATTTAGTCAGGATCATTTTAGATTCATTCATCAATCACCTTTATTTATTTTAGTCACTTGACTGTTGACGTGCTGACAAATTAAGGAATGTTGTTTATGAGTCTACTTTCGAGTTCAGTTCTATTAAAATTCCAATTGTTGAACAAGACCTATCGTTTACCGGAAGTTTACTTTTATTTTGGTAAAGCGATACATAGAGCATTATATTCAAAAGAATCTCCAAATAACCATACTCTAGTGACCGATTGATAGATATTTATTCGAAATAGACCACCTTGACCAACCCTGAAGCACCAGCGCCAAACGTCCCGTCCTATCCATCAGATAAGGCTAAAATTACTGCGTGGCCTGTGCCTATCAGATTTACGGCTTCGCTGGAAGATTTCAACACAAGAGAAACAGACTGAGTAGGACCATTTTCCAATAAAAGAGATACCATAATATGTACGCCTAAAATATTGCATTTCCCACTACATAACAACCATTTGAAAGAATAGATACCTGATGGAAGAGACCCCTCTTAAACAACCTTCATGGAAATTTCTGTAAGTACAGTTGAAGTACAACTTGTCGTGTGCTTTTGTAAAGCAGAAGGCTCGAGGGATGGTACATAACGGTACGCATCAGACCATTGGCTACTAGTCTAATTTAACGCCACCATGAATTGAAATTTCTTCTCACTTTGTGGAATTATCTTCAGCTAATTCCTGAAAATTATCACAATGCAGCAATGGAATTAATGGCACAATGGTACGGTTTTCTCATTATAGAGCGGGTCTTCTTTACAGCACGTTGATTGTGCTATCAATGGAGGCCCCCGTCAAGTGACATTCAGTTTATCGAAATTGGCACAACCCAATGTGGCGATGACGAACTTTCCGCTACATTGACATGAAAAGCTAGACGGAGCTTAATAGCAAATAAGATGACTGCCAATAAGACTACGGAGGATAGTGGAATAACACGAAAAGAAACATCACGAATAAATAAACTTTACGGAAAAATATTTAGCTCATCACAATCATTTAGGAAACGGAATTTCTTCAAGACATTAACTGCAAAACAACGCCAGATAACCAAAAAATTAGGTTATAGATTTTATGACGGATAAATGATTCTCTAAAACTAGCTGTAAATTACATTTTATGTGAGTGTTATAGACATTATGACTTTATAAAATATGACATTCACAGTTTCTTGAAGATAATGTGAAATATATTTACAGTTGTACCAAATATACGGACGTCAGAAACGTGCGAGTAATTGATGAATGATGATCAATGTCCTCGGACTGTGAATATTTTTGTAAGGCCGTCGAAAGTTGTGCAAAATAGTTTTGACTCAAAATATTCAAAATAACATAATGCATCATGTAGTGAAATGTACACTAAAAGAATCAAGAGAGAGAGATACTAAAAATATTCAATAAAGAAGAAGAATTTTAGGACACAAAACAGACATGATTATTTGACTCCCAAATTATGCGAGAATTTAATTTAAAACATTGTAACAAAGGGCCGAAGAATTCAGAAGTGTCATAGTCGAGATACAAAGTATTCAGTAAGTGCATGAACTTGAAATAGCTAGGATTATAAATAGAGCCACCTACGAGCGGCTTCTGTAAATACTACGTTACGTTGACTCACTATGACATTTGGGCAACGCGGTTATGATGATTAAACTATGGAATCTGCTCATAAATCCGTTACTGAACTATTTCTGCAATTAAGCAGAGCTTCTAGCATTAATTTGCATAATCCTGAAGTAAATAATAATGATATAGTTGCATCAAATATCCGATTAGACAGGCACCGGCAATTTGAAGTCAATAACATCGATAAATCAGAATCAGCCGTGACAAGCACTGCAGCTGTAAATGTCACGTTGTCGAGATAAATCGAAGGCGTGAATCACTAGCTCAGTGAACCACTTCGGGATCGGGACTATTGTCAAGACGTTTGATGAAAGAATCCCGCCCAACCATAAGTAGACCGAGAGATGGTGCAGGTATAAAGTTGACCTGTAGAAATAATAACCAATCTAGCATCTATGTCAAACCATCTATTAATGTAGGTATCAATCATCAATTAATCTATAAAGGATGCCACTTAAAATCAGGATCAATTCAAACAATATTTTTCATATAATGGATTACAAAATCTATAAAACTGGAACAACTGGAAGATGATTAAACGCAACAGCGTGTAAATAAACACACGCAATATGAGTTTACAAAACAGTTTAGTCTCGAGAGCATTTGAATGGGATCTGAAATAGACTGATGGCGTTGTAGCCATAACTCATGCGAGCGTAATGTACGGACAATCGAACGCAAAATTTCAAGATTTATGCAATTCGCTATCAGACATCAAAATTAAAGATCGCTTTGCTGGCGCAACTATACTATACATAGATCGTACCTCACTATACTGAGAGAAACAAGAAATGTAATGTTCTGGAAAAAGTTACTGAAACGAGATTTTTTGAGTCTTCCACAAAATCGGGTACATTGACCGATTACAAAAAATGCTCGGAAACAATATAACTAAGGCAGAAATAGAGCATTCGAAAGAGTTCAGATCAGTTGAGCTAGATGATGCAACGTTTTTATTAGATGCAACTGATCTGAATAAAACTGAATCGAAAGTCTTCAGCAACCCAAATGTCAGTGCAGAGCCCCAATCAGGTCCGCGTTCCTCTGTGTTTACAAATCGACAAGCTTATCGCTTCATGCGACGTCACCTTTATCTCCGGTGATTACGGTCGGTAATCCCGCAATTTTTAACTCGGGAAAGTCTGCCGGGATTAGACGTGACAGATTTATCTGTGCATCTATCAAGCGTCTTAATATAAGGATAGTAAGGGTTGTATTTGAGTGATTGATCTCGAAGAAAGTGTGCGAGTCAAAGCCGGATAGGCAGGTCTAAAACCGTCGCGTCTCTGACACCGTAGTGGGGCAAGGACGCCTAGCGCCTATGCAGTCGGTAGATTGATTAACCGATTAATCTTCTCTTGAAGACTAGACTTCGGACGTAACAGCTTACTGAAGTGCTGAAGCGTGCCACTAAATAATCCCAGGACTGTGAATCTTGAAGAATTTGGGTAAACAGATTTAACAGACATGCGAATCTTCGAATGTTGACAATTTGAGTAGAAATTTTAATATCACAAAATAAGATGAATAGGAAACACAAACAATAATAAAATTCTATGACTGAAAATATGTTTCATCTGTACAGTGTGCATTGGTTTGAATATTTGGTGCAGTTTACATTTTATGTGTCGCATTATATTAATGATTAAATAATCGCATTATCGAAACTGTACATCTTTTTAAAACTTTTACGGGTAACTTTAGTTCGAGTTTACACTGTGTTGTGTGCACGCACTGAATGTAAACAATGTGCACGCGTGTTAGGCGGTTATCACTGGGGTACACACGGGTACGGGTACTCTACGGGTACGCGGCTGGCACTCGGCGGGTACGGTTACGGAGCAGCGAAGTCCGGACGCGGTATCTTCGGGCGGGAACGCGCGCGGTACTGGCGGACGACTGATAGAGTTACTAGACGCGCGGATTCATGGGAGACAACTTTGAACCTGTAGCGACGGTTATTGTCGCACCGAAGGCGGTGAAAATATTTTCAGTTTCTTTCAGACATTTACATGCTTGTAAAAAGTTCAATATTGTCATATCAATAAGAAAATGATTGATTTATTTCTTGCTTTAAGACTAAAGACAACGCTGGCAAATATTTTCAGTCTCTTTGAGACATTTTCATGCTTGTAAAAAGTTCAATATTGTCATATCAATAAGAAAATAATTGATATATTTCTTGCTTTAAGACTAAAGACGCAACTTGAAAACTGGTAGCCAATTATTGTCGCTGAACGCTGGCAAAATATTTTCAGTCTCTTTCAGACATTTACATATTTCAAAAGATCAATATTCTTATATCGATCAATAAGAAAATACTTGGTTTAATTTCTTGCTTGATGACCAAAGACATAATTTTGAATCTGCTAGCTAGAGACAGTTATTGTAGCACTGAACGCTGTAAAAATATTTTGAGTGTCTTTCAGACATTTTAAGAAACATTTTATTTTCATATCGATTAATAAGAAAATACTTGGTTTATTTCTTTCTTGATGACACAATTTTAAACCTGGTAGCGAATAGTTATTGTCGCACTGTACGCTAGGAAAATAATTTCAGTCTCTTTGAGACATTTTCATACTTGAGATTTTATTTATTCTCATATCGATCAATAAAAAAATATTTGGTTTATTTCTAGCTTGATGATTAAAGACTGCTTTCTATTGTTGAAGTTTAATAATAATTTAATAAATACATTATTCTTACAGATAATTTATAAAGAGAACGATACGTTTTACTTTTATGCGGCTTTTAATACTTTGGCAGTCTTGGATGCGGATTCTGAAAGGAAGGAAGGTGGTAGGAGTTAGGAAGTAGTTAGGTACATTTTGAAGTAGGTAGGAAGGATACTGTTTCTATTTTAGTTCTTGAAGGTATTTTTTGAGGTTGGGTAGTTGTTATGGGCGGGGCCTATGCCGAGATATATCATACAGGATGATTTTGTTATCGCTATCCAAATTTTTAGAAACGACTCAGAATCAGTAATTAATCGATTTACGTAAAGAAAACAATATATTACCGCGATTAAGAATAATTAAGATAAAGTTGTATTGTTAAATGGTTCTATAGAGCTTATTAAAAATATTTGGATACTGTTAACAAAATCACCCTGTATATTAGGGTGGAGCACGGTTGTATGGGAAAAATTTTTTTTTTAGTTTCGAAGTTCTAATAGGGGGGGATTTGTGCCTTATATGAAAGTATAAATAACTGTAATTTTTTATCCCATTTAATGAATATCTTCTGCCTCCGCAGTGACTTCTAAATTTTAAAATTTTATTTAAAGTTGAAAGTAGTCTAAGGTGAAATATTGCGCTCTATTTATTAGTAAGAAGGTATTAAATGACAGATAATTTATAGATTAGATATTTACTAAGGTAATATAACAAGAAATACATACAAGAATTAGATAAATTACTTTAATTATTATGTTTGAAAATCCTTTTTTGATCAAAATTTAGGCATCACGTTTTGCGATTCCAACTTAACTTTTATTGCACCTTATTAGTGACTTTCTGGATGCAGTGAGAAATAGAATCTTTGATCGTAATCTTCACAGGTCCCTCAACAGCTTGAGTGAGGTAGAGAAGCCCTAAAACAAAGGTTTGCTCTCACCACCAGATTTGACAATGTGCTGAATTTCTTAGTCAAATAAATATCTCAAAAGCGGCTGTTTGGTTAAGTAAATTAAATAAATATATAAAATAGCATTAAAGTGTATCACTAGTACTTGAAAAATTCTAGGTATTGAAGGGTGACTCGTACTGTGTGACTTTAGTATGCGACGAGCGGCCAGCTCTCTGACATCGTAAGAAGACTGCTATCAGGATACTCGTAATAGCTTTTTCTCCGGGTAACTAGTTCTTTAATCTTTCATAGGGTATCTGGCAGGCCTCTCGAGGCCATAATAATTTTAAACAGATGACGGGTGCCATCTTTGCATGATGGTTTTGTCTTAATCAAAAACCAGGAAGAAGCATAGACTTTAACCACAATAGTAGCCAGAGGTATCAAAATTTCTATTGGATTTTAAGTTTCTACAATACAAACGTAGTATTCGGTACGCTCGTGTGATCTAACGGGCATGTTACAATTCACCAGGAGAAATTATTGCGAGATTTTGTGAGAATACGCCTAATTACCGCCGAAGCAATTTTATGCAAGTTCTGCTGATCAGTACTCAGATAATTGGCCATTTCTGATCACATTTTGTCCTTCAATTTGTTCAAATTTATAGATAGGCAGTTTCTCACATGTTTCCAGAGCTTTTCCAGTAGACTATCTGACAAAGACGTGAGTCGCGAAAAGGGCCAGAAAAATTCTCTTCTCGCGCTCTCTCACGCCCTTATTAAAATTATAAACCCAAAGCCTGGCTTTTTTGTGTATTTTACATTGAAAATATAGCATATCAGTAAACGATTTGTGATAAAAAATAGTACTTTTATTTAAATATTGCAGAGATATGTGGCGCCTAAGTGAGGTCTAAAACCAACTTTTTTTATAAATTCAGTGTCGATGCGGAGGCAGTTACTCTAAACCGAATTGATTAATATTTTGCATGACTTCATTTAAGCCCTAAAGGCACAAAATTTTGACTATTACATTACAGATATCTGAAAAAAAAATTTTCGCTCCACCCTACTGTATATCCTAATATTCTAGCGAAGTCATTTAACATAAGGTAAAAAAATTATCTAGACCAAGGCAAATAATCAATACTCACTCAGTACATAGCAGATAGGTCCCGAGTCTGCGAGACGGCCATCAGTGCGCATCGGCGGAGTACGTCCAAGCCGTCCACCTGATGAAATACAGTTATTTGAGCATCTTACACAATATTAGCAAACTGCCCCGACTTCGCACGGGTGCTAAGTGAGAATAAAGTGCAAAAACCATGAAAAAATAGACTTGCTTAACCTTAAGACCGATTTACGTGTTAAGTAGTTAAATAGGTAACAAAATTTTTACTTGATTTTTACGTCAAGTTGGTGTGCGGGGCTTGTCACTTGACACATTTTGACAAACAGTTTCATAGTAAACATGAGCTTGACGCAAGTTGATCACTTAAAATTAAGTTAAAGGACATTGTCAGAAACCGCCTCAGATTCCTGGGCACAGCAGTAAAGTATCAAAATTAATCTCTTACTTTTTGAATACTTAAATATTAATTAGATTGTAACGGACACTTGAGGATTAAAAAATGAAATAATAAAAGTATTTTATATGTATTCCATAATACTATGACGACATCCGGACATTTTAGGGCGTGGCCTGCTCCATATCCTATGAAGTTCCATAATTTGTGTCGATAAAATCTATGTAAAATCGGCACAAGGCAATGCCGTACTTCATTGTTAGGAATCCATGTAATAGTGATGTTGACTGCGGTCATCATAGACAATAAGATACCGATCTTGTAAATAAAATAAATCGTCCAAATTGCTACAGTATGACTAGATTTTAATTAAAAGTTAAAAATATATTGCACGATACTACAAGAAGCTATCTAATGTGTCCAACTGGTCGAAGGTCATGAATAAAATAAAAAGAATTGTGATCATAACACTGATATAGACAATGACAACAATATGGGATCATCTTTAATATATCTGTTACAGTTTCAAAATTCGATGAAAAATCCAATGCCGCTTAAAGTGAGAGAAATGTCTAAAGTTCTAATAGAATTGAAAGTTTTATTCGCTCAAAATGCTTATAACAATAATTGGTAATACATTTCAAATATTAAGTACCTTTATAATGTATCGATAGAACCAAAATGATATCCTCTCAGCTTGGAAAGGGAAAACCCAGGATTGGGGGAGCGCTCCAGGCAATTTTTAGAACATTTCATAGGTGGTAGTAAATAATATTTATTTTATTATTAAAATTGAATATTTTGATATTGATAAAATTGAATATGTCTTTCGATTCAAATACCGAATATTTTTCAATCGATAATAATTATCGAGAATTGTTAATAATATTCAATTAAAAGTTGTTCAATCCCTAGTCATGCATAGACTAAGACGGTAACCATGGAGATAGTTAGTTTGGTAAGTCACGTGTTAAATGTCAAGAGTGGAAAGTAAACATAGGATTCATGTTATTTATTTACGTGCAAAATGTAAGTAAGTAAATCATAAAAGTGGAACGCCGAACTATTTCCAAAACCCGTCCAATATTATAATACAATTTGGCTGCGACAACTACAATACAGAACATCTCCCAAATCAATGTGCATAAAATAATACAATACAATACTAGTAAGTAAGAGGTTATGATAACAATATTGCTATCAATAAGTTTATAGAATTGGTCCGCCAGGAATAATTGTTCTTACATAAAGATTTGTGTCATTTAGAACCTAGAAAGTATTATTTCGGCACTGTTGATCTAACGGCGAACAATGTATGGAGAACGAACATTGTCCTTTAGTTATAGCCCGACCAGGAACATAAAAACCCTCGCCATGTTGCGGAAAACTAATGGTACTAATTTCTTTTAATGGCAACAGTAACTGAAAACTTCATTGTCATGTCACCTTGCATGTCAGTCTATTGCTGTCAAAGTGTTAACAAACTTTATTTTAAATGTACGCAACTGATTTTGTGAATTAAATTGCTAAAATCTTTTTACAGTCGTGAAAGAAAAGTGGTTCACAATGTGTTAAAGTATTTGTCGAAGAGAAATACTAAGGGTTCGGACAATATTTTCATTGAATAATGTTTCCGACAAAGGTTGTCAAATTGACTGACATGTTTATCGTACCTATAGTACAGTCCACTATGAAAATTAGCTGTGGTTTGTTTCAACTACCTGTTTTAAAAATTTTTGTCACTTTCTAAGTGTTGAATTTTATGGAATTGGGAAAGAAGTACCGAGTTTGAAGCGTTCATGAGCAGACATTGCGGTTGAATATTCAAGTTCTGAATTTGATTATTGATGAATAATAAAATAAATCCTACTAGCTCGATTGATGGTTTCATTTAATTTATTTAAACCAGGTTACCTATAATAATATTTTTTCGTTAATTTATGAAAATATCAAAGTAACCCGTAATCCTGAATCTTGATACATAAAGTTAGCCTATTAATTAACACAGGTACGACTGTACTCAGTGTTGCACTATCAAATGCAATTGACGCGCCTCTATGCCAGGGTTTTTATGTTCCTGGTCAGGCTATACCTACTTAACTACTTAATACGTGTAAACCAGCCATTAGACCCGGTTTCCACCAAGGCGGTGCGGAGATATGTTCTGAATAACCAATCAGATTTAATTCTGACAATTTTATTCAATCTGAATGACATCTGATTGGTTGTTCAAAATATTTCTCCCCTCCGCTCCGCGGCGGAAACCGGACCTTATCAAGGGTTAACGTGTACCGATGTTTACCTTGACGGCGAGCACGCCGCAGACGGCCTCGCCGGGCAGCGCGCCTTGTACCGGCACCACCTCGATGTAGCTGTCGTTGCCGGAGCTGTAGGCCAGCAGGTCGCCCAGGTAAAGGTACGCGTAGCTGACGACAAAGCATTTAAATATTGGTCATCATTGACAACGACGATCTGTAGGCCTAAGATGCGCGCCGTGATAACTTTTATCGACGTCAAAATGTATGGGAAAAATCGATAAAATGGCGTGATAACCGCTTATTGCGGCGCGCATCTTAGACCTACTGGTGAAGATCGCGGAAGGTGATTGGATGCGGGCGGCGCAGGACCGGTCGTTGTGGAAAACCTTGTGGGAGGCCTTTGTCCAGCTGTGGACGTCTTTCGGCTGAAACGAACGAACGAACAAATACAAATACAAATACAAATACAAAATTGTTTATTCAGAATCAGGTTTGAAAAAACAGGGTTTCGATTGGGGTTTTCTTTTAAGTATAAGTAGATACTTGTGTTAGAAAACCCCGATTAACCCCTCTTTATTAACCCCGAAGAACAGCATTGATAAAGAGGCTTCAAGATTAAACGTGAGTAGCAATTTAATGTGGCATCGTAAATTAGAATAGAGCACGGCATTACAGAACGACGTTTTCTCACAAGTCACTTTTAAGCATTAAAATTCATAAAATTCATAAAATTCATAAAATTCATTTATTTTTGCAAATAGGCTTTAAAAAAGCGCTTTTACACGTCCCAACACTAACCACTGCTTCGGGACAATAAATGGCCTTACCAATCAGGTACAGATTTATGAACCGAAGATGAAGAATTTAAGCTCTGACTGACTTTGAATTCGACTTCGAACGTTGTGGTGTAGTAATAATTACTCCAGTTATTGAGCAAAAGGTCTTACCTGTAGGAAAATAATAGCAAATCATATTCCTATGTCATGGGATTCTCACTTTATCCGTACGGATACAGGCAGCTATTTGCAAACAAATCTGACAGTTATGTAATGGTTTAGAGTAGTTGAAATTTAAGATGATTTCTCACCCAATATCCTCGCAGTTGTCCAAGCCCAGCGGGTCTTCTGGCGGCTCGCTGATGACGCTGAAGATGACGCAGTCTTTAGAGCTGTGCTCGGTGCGGTTGGTGGAGCGGCACTTGGCCATGTGCCCCAGCAGCGGCAGGTCGCAGTCCGTCAGGTGGAACTCTGCGGGGGCAAGAGTCAGTTAGTGACTGGTGGAAGAGGCTCAGTGTGCTTACCATGAGTTTACGTTAGGTGTGCTCGCTAGCGACTGCGTAAAAAAATGACATTTAATTGTATGACATATTGTGCAGCGCCCCTTGCGGCTACTTTGAAGAAACAAAATCTTCTTAGAGATTTTTGACGTACTCGCTAGCGAGCACACCTAACGTAAACTCTCATGGTAGGTACACTGTTCTTGAAATGGGGTACCTTTTAGATATGGGGTATCGGTTACTAAAGATCGTCGCGGGCGGCTCGCTAATGAGGCTGAAGAGTGTCAGGTTGAATTTTGGGGGATTGGAGCAAAAGTCGGGACTGGTGGAAGTGGCTGTCTTTTAGATATGGTGTATCGGTCGTACGTACTGGAAAACGCAGCGTGGGACGACCACCTACAAGGTGGACCGACGACATCGTAAAGGTAGCAGGGAAGCACTGGACGCAGACCGCTACCAATCGACCAACGTGGAAAGCATTGGGGGTGGCCTATGTTTAGCAGTGGACGTCCTATGGCTGAAATGATGATGACGATGATCGGTCACTAAAGGTAGCCGCGGATCTTCGGGCGGTTCGCTGATGACGCTGAAGATGACGCAGTCCTTGGAGCTGTGCTCGGTACGGTTGGTGGAGCGGCACTTGGCCATGTGCACCAACAGCAGCAGGTCGCAGTCCGTCAGGTGGAACTCTGGTGGTTTGGAGTAAGAGTCAGTGACTGGTGAAAGTGACTCTTTTAGATAAGGGGAGTCGGTCAATAAAGGTCATCACGGGTAATGATGGCTTGTGCTCACGCTGAAGACAAAGTGCCCAAGCAGCGACAGGTCACGGTACGTCAGGTGGAACTCTGGTGGGGCAAGAGTCAGTCAGTGACTGGTGGAAATGACTGTCTTCTTGATATGGGGTATCAGTCACTAAAAGTCGCCACGGGTCAAGTGGCGACTCGCTGATGACGCTGAAGACGACCTAGTCCTTGGACTGTGTTCTATGCTCTATAAAGTTTTGCTATTTGTATGGTGTATGCTAAGTTAGGGCGAGGCTGCAGCAAACGTAGATGTGTAGCGCAGTGCCACTCAAATGCGTTCTAATCTATAGATGACCAAGCTTAGGGCGCATCCTACAAGTGCAATTGAGACAAATGACGAACCAAACAGTACTTACTCTTGCTGAACTGGAAGTAGCACTTGTCGACGTAGCTCCGGGGCTTGGGCAGGCTGACGGGCGTCTCGAGCTCGGCGCCGGAGCGGCCCCGGAACGTGTACGCCACGTAGAGCGCGGCCACATTGTCTCTAGACACTCACTCTTGCTGAACTGGAAGTAGCACTTGTCGACGTAGCTCCGGGGCTTGGGCAGGCTGACGGGCGTCTCGAGCTCGGCGCCGGAGCGGCCCCGGAACGTGTACGCCACGTAGAGCGCGGCCACATTGTCTCTAGACACTCACTCTTGCTGAACTGGAAGTAGCACTTGTCGACGTAGCTCCGGGGCTTGGGCAGGCTGACGGGCGTCTCGAGCTCGGCGCCGGAGCGGCCCCGGAACGTGTACGCCACGTAGAGCGCGGCCACATTGTCTCTAGACACTCACTCTTGCTGAACTGGAAGTAGCACTTGTCGACGTAGCTCCGGGGCTTGGGCAGGCTGACGGGCGTCTCGAGCTCGGCGCCGGAGCGGCCCCGGAACGTGTACGCCACGTAGAGCGCGGCCACATTGTCTCTAGACACTCACTCTTGCTGAACTGGAAGTAGCACTTGTCGACGTAGCTCCGGGGCTTGGGCAGGCTGACGGGCGTCTCGAGCTCGGCGCCGGAGCGGCCCCGGAACGTGTACGCCACGTAGAGCGCGGCCACATTGTCTCTAGACACTCACTCTTGCTGAACTGGAAGTAGCACTTGTCGACGTAGCTCCGGGGCTTGGGCAGGCTGACGGGCGTCTCGAGCTCGGCGCCGGAGCGGCCCCGGAACGTGTACGCCACGTAGAGCGCGGCCACATTGTCTCTAGACACTCACTCTTGCTGAACTGGAAGTAGCACTTGTCGACGTAGCTCCGGGGCTTGGGCAGGCTGACGGGCGTCTCGAGCTCGGCGCCGGAGCGGCCCCGGNGACACCTCACGTCACATCATTTTACCGAAGTCAGCCCTATAGCTTCGGCGCAGTACCGATCACTGACGTTTGTCAACAAAACTTCTGACAAACTTGCTTGACTCTTGAGACAAGCTAAATTACACCATATTGTTAATGACATTGAGCATACATTTTTTTAAATACCTTCGCGAAGTAAAACTTCTGTACGTAGTACTTATTATTATTCTGTGGTTTTACGTTCGTCAAAGATGCTACAGAGTAACTAAATGGTGTGGGTATATGTATTTTGGAAAAAGAAACTTTTAACGAAAGTACCTACATTTCATAATCGGATTAAAATTGCCTAATAATGTTATGAGAAGACGATATTTAATTTTAAATTAACATAACGTTGATAGAAAAACAAACTACTAAAACTTTTGTAAAAAAAACACACCTCTTAGTACGTAATAGGTTGCTAAAGTGTTGAATTTGATATACCGCCGCCATAACGCATAAAAATCAACATAATTCAAACAACTGTTAACAAAAGGTCTTACCTTATTTTCTTTATCCCAAGATTTACTGTTTTTTGCGATGGTGACGAATTTTTTTGAACCATCTAGCCCCCTGGAAGCTGTAAAATAGTATAGGCGCTGGTTTATGTTCCTTCCATCGATCGAAATACAAAGGCTGGAAGTATTTACATTTGCTCAGCTCCGGAGGATCGTCTACTGTCTGCCGGGTCGTTTGCATGGCTTTGGATTGCTCTGCAAAGATATATTAGGAATGAACGAGACCTCATCAATCAAATCAAAATACTCCTGTCGCAGTGTTACAACCCGGTCGAATTAACTGCGCAGCTGACGACACTGACACTGACGTCACACAGGACGTAAACTATTACTCATATCATAATCCTACGTGGTAAGGGTTTAACACGTACGATGTTGCTAGCACAGCTAGTCTCTTATATATTTTTACTATGATTGAGGAATGGCGATAGAATTTTCCACATACAATGAACACAATATCTTGACAAGTCTACCTCTATACCACACTATAAAAATATTGTATGAGTGCGAAAAATTACTTACTATTATAATTAGTGTCCTTTTTTACTAAACTAGTCATAGAACATTCATTTTTCTGCAAAGAAAGATGTGAATGAATGAAATATTGAGGTAAAAAACAATACAAAATCACGATTATAACACTCACAAAAAAGCTGCTTCGTTTGTTTGATTTGGGAATTTGTCGCCTCGTGACTAGGCCTCTCTGAACATGTAAAATAAAAACAAGTGTAATCAATAATATGTAAAACTCTTTTTAAAGTAATGAAATAGAATAGTAACACATATGCCACTATTTAGTTAAAAAAAATTACAAACCCAAGAACTAGCAGTAGAATGTGTTTGAGACGCTGCATCCTGAAAATATTAAAATGTTTAGATCTCTTTATTTTAGGCTGGGCTGCACCATCTTACTTTAACTTTTACAGACGTCAAAAGTCTGTTAAACTCCATACATAAAACACTGGTTATGGTTATAGTCACAGTTAATATAAGGTGGTGCAACTCAGCATTAGAAACGAAGGTACAAATGCACATGAAATAAAAAAATCTTACATCCTCAATTTTTTCCAGTCGTGATATAGGAGGTATGTTTTCATGCACGGCGTAACGCTGGAATACAAGAAACTGTTGAAAATTTGAAAGCAAACAAGCAAACTCATAATGTTGGCAAGTTTAACATACATCTAATGCTTGTTTCATATCGTTCGCCGATTTTATTTTTGCAGGCTGAAACAAATTATAATATTTAGCAGTAAAGTTCCGAATTTTACTGTCTCGAACTAAATAAATGACTAGATGTAATGGAAATACTTAATAATGATACGAATAATAAATTATGTTTTCATTAAAAAATATCTTAAATTTTCTACGGGTACTAAACTAACTGCGTGAATAATTAAAAAAATACATACCACTTCATTCACGAGTATTCTGGATTGGGTTGACTGTATGTATCAAAAATAATGTGATTAATATTTTAGGTTTTGGTAGTAATTACCTTATTTACCTGCATTATTGGACAGGTAAATGTTTTTAAAGATTTTTTTAAGATTTGAAAGCCTATCTCTTACATCTGCATCTTTAAATCCTACTGGTCCGCGTTCGCGTTGTAGAGACACCCGCACTTGGTTTTGTTGAGGCTGCAACAAATTAAATAAACACTAAGGCTGAGTTTCACCATCTTAGCTTTAACGGTACCCCGGTGTTTTTGTATGGAGTTTGACAGACTTTTGACGTTAAAGTTAAAGTAAGATGGTGTAACCTAAGGTTAAAGTGAAGATGGATTGTTAGTTGTAATTTCACAGAATAACATTCCAATATTTTCGATGGTAATAATCAATAACATAGCTTAGATGTCATACAAGAGATTTTTGTTTTGATATTTTTTTGGAAACTATAGGCCCGGCCTATCCGCCTATTTGATGGGTGATGGAGTTAGAAAAAATATGTTGAAGTCGATTTATTGAAATTATAGCCTTTACCACTAACATTTCAAAACATACAAATATTACCAATTGATTGGCGTTCGATGTTGTAGCCTGTGCCGAAATACTACGACGATTTTCGGTGTTCAATGTCACCTGCAAAGATGTTACAAACAATATCTGTCACTGTCAATTATTATTCATATTGTTCAAAATATGTCATTATCCTACTAATATCCTACTAATCCTTCCTATCCTACTAATATTATAAATGCGAAAGTTTGGATGTCATGATGTCTGGATGTGTGGATGTTTGTTACTCTTTCACGCAAAAACTACTGAACGGATTTTGTTGAAACTTTACAGTATTATTGTTTGTAACCCAGATTAACATATAAGCTATAATTTATGCCGATCTGTGACTCTAAATTTCACGCGGGTGAAGCCGCGGGCAAAAGCTAGTTATTAATACATATTACTAAGCACTTACAGGTGAATTGCTAGTAGACTCCCCGTGGCTCTGACTGCCCACGCTGCGACAACGGTCTGGCGGTCCCAGCGGACGACTCTAAGGATAAGACAATAAGGTTCATTATTCTGAATCAAGGTACATTGTGTTATCATTACGATGTACAGGACTATTCCCACCTCTCGTTCCCACCGCTGCAACTCCTGTGTAGCCAGGATCTACAGCTTGACCGCCAATAAAACCCAACCAGTGAATGTCAAGTTTGTCCCGGGGGAAAGTTAAATTGGGCCCGCAAATAAATTAATTATTCAGATCACATACTACAAACACTCCTCATTTAATAAACATGTTATTTTCTAGTATTCGAATATAACTAGCTATGTAGTAGCTAGTAATATTTAGCGTTTTTGCATCACAACACTTTTATTTACTGCTCCGCCTCTATTGGCTGTAAGGCGATGTTATAGCCTAACTAAAGCCTTTCTAGATAAATGGGCTATCTAACACAAAAAGCATTTTTCAAATCGGACCAGTACTTCCTGAGATAAGCGCGTTCAAACAAACTCTTCATGTTATTCGTTTAATAAAAACTAGCTGTGCCCGCGACTTCGTACACGTGAAAACCCGTTTTCGCAACATTTTTAATTTTTGCTCTGCTCCTATTGATCGTAGCGTGATGTTGTATAGCCTAAAGCCTTCCTCGATAAATGGGCTATCTAATACAAAAAGCATTTTTCAAATCGGACCAGTAGTTCCGGAGATTAGCGCGTTCAAGTAAACAAACTAACAAACTCTTCAGCTTTATAATATTAGTTTAGATAAGTATAGATATGTAGAGCACAAAAATATCTTTAATCTGTATCTTACCAAATCATACATGTCGTTCTTCTTCGCGCTGTAAGTCGCGGGAGTCTCGAAGTCGTAGAGCCCGGCCTTCTGCTTGGACGGCCGCATGTCCAAGTCTTGGGACAGCTGGTCTTCGTTGTACCGGTCGTCGTCGTCCATCAAGTTCTGCTCTAGCTGGGCTGACGGGTCGGCTGGGCCTGGCTGGAGAACAATGTGAGCAAGGTTAAAATAGTAGAATATGAAGACATATGGAGGTACCTTCAGATTATAGACCCAATACACTGAACTGGTCCCACCCGGGACATTGACAGGGGGGCGTCACCGTCAATACCGGATCGCTGGTTCCGATTTTTGCCACGTTGGAAACTACACTCGACAGCAAATAAATCGCACCACCCGCGACAAGCATTTTCAAACGTATGCATCCCTACTTCCCACCAATATTGGCACCATTTAAAAGCCTAGTTCTAAACTTCATTTCATTAAAGGAAAGNCCCAGGAACGTGTACGCCACGTAGAGGCGCGTGACGCGCGCGTCGGCCATGGCCGCGCACTCCTCGTTCAGCGCGAGCCACATCACCGTGATGTCCACGCACTGGCCGACGTGGTCCTCGCTCGGGTCCCGGTCCGTTGATGATTTTGGCTGCGACATACGGATTGGTTTTAGAAGTTTTACCAGGCCTGTTCANTGATCCCAGAGGTGAGAACAAAGTGAGATCTTTTTTCAAGTCACATTTATGGTATATGTTAATCATTTATTAAGAAACTAAATGTGTTTTTCTTTAAGGATATTTATTGGGCTTTCAAATAACACCAATATTGTTGGGGCACCATTATTGTGTCAAAAGAAAATCTTTAAAGTTCGCGTCGCGTGTGGTTCGATTTATTTGCTGTCGAGTGTATATAATTGAATGATGGTGGCGCCCCCATGTCAGTGAGTTTTTTTATCAAAAATTTTGTCTGATTTTTGCAGTCAAAAGTGGTTTTGACCGATTATGAGTTATGACTGCCACACACACAACAATATTTGAGTGAGACGTTACAATGGAGTTCATTACTGGGCGTGTTAGGGAAAGTCCATAGAATAGTCGTTACTATAGCGTTATAAAGAAAAAATCTAAAAATGTATTTGAAAAAGCGATATCTCGGAAAGTTTTCATGCTAACGAAGTGATTCTTTCACCAATACTTTTTTTTTTAATCCACAACGAGGAAGCTCTTGGCCTGCATCTCACCTGATGGTAAGTGACGATCAGGCCGAAAGTGGAAACTAGCTTCACCCGGAATCCTCAACCACGGAGGAACTGGCTATCTTACCTCTAACGAACACAATAATGCTGTTAACATTGTTGTTATGGCGACAGACTTAGCTAAGATGGTGGTAGCTAGCCACGCGGACTTAGAACAAGCCCTACCATCAACCAAACCGAACAGAAAAATCTGCCCCCACTGGGAATCGAATCCGGGACCTCTGCGTTTAAAGCAGGTGGTTTTACCACTAGTGGGCCGAGTGTGAGTTTAAATCAAACGCGATCACTAGTGAGCGCGTTTAAAAAATGTATGAAAATTTTTGTTTTTGAAAGTTTCCCGCTAGAGGCGCTGTACTATCCGTCATACATTTAATGTTGTCATTTAACGTCATACATTTTCGTCGGCCGTTGGTGTAGTGGTTCAGAACGGACTACTATGCCGAGAGGTCCCGGGTTCGATTCCCGGCCGGGCAGAAATTGAAATGATGAATTTTAATTTCTGTGACGGGTCTGGGTGTGACTATGTATAATATTTATGTATTTAAAAAAAAGTATATAAGTAGTATATCCGTTAAGCTAGCACCCATAACACAAACATTAAGTTGCTTACTTTGGGGCTAGCTGGCGCTGTGTGAAATTGTCCAAAGATTTATTTATTTATTTATTATAATGTCATTTTTTTAATGTCATGTTGAAAAAAAACTCACATTCAGCTCTTAGACCACAGAGGCGGTTAATTATATCACCAATGCCTACTTGTATAAAACATCAACCTGCTTACATTGGCGATGGCGCGGTTGATAGCGGGCAGCAGCGCGGGATCGACGCGTAACATGCACCACAGGTCTAACACGCCCACCTCGTCACCAGAGTCTAATGGATCTTGCGCTCGACGCAAGTGAGGTCCAGCCACCTGCAAGGCAATCTGAATTATATAACTCAGTGACTGACTGACTGACTGACGTAGTAATCTATCAACCACTGGACCGATCGGGCTGAAATTTGGCATGCAGGTAGATGTTATGACGTAGGCATCCGCTAAGTAAGGATTTTACGAAACTCCATCTCTAATGGGGTAAAACGGGATCCACGCGCACGAAGTCGCGGGCGGCCGCTAGTACTGATATAAAGGGAGTAGGTCACCTGGCAGATCCTATAGTGGGCACGGTGGGCATACCCAGCGCACAACCGTTAACCTTGTAACGTCACATTTGTATAATCTAAAAATTAAGACAAGTAATTGCAGGCGTCACGCTTAGCCGATTTTTCGGATGTCCGTCCGTGATGTGACAACAACCTTTGGATTGGTTAGTCGGTCAGGAAATCAAAGAACAGTAAACACTTATACTAATAGCTTAACAAAGCTAGAGACATGTCAGCCTACTTGTAGGCGTGCAACAGTGCATTGCGCAGCGTCACATTTTAAGTACCTATTTATACTACCAGCGCTTAGCCGATTTTGTTTTGTTATGTTTTGATCCATGCCATAACCTGCATAATATAGTACTTAGGCCCGATTAGACCAAACTTTTATCCGAGAATAACTTCTGGTATAACTGGCTCATTGATAGTTTCAATATGGGAAATATGTCAAAATGTCGAATAACTGACGATTTATTCTGAGATTAATATTTACTCTTGTTTGGTCGAATCCACCCTTAGTCAGTCAAGATGTAAAACCAATGCCAATAACTTACCAAAGCCAGAGACATGTCAGCGCGCCTGTTGGTATGTAACAGTGCATCTCGCAGCGGCAGCGCGCAGCTCGCGAACGGCTCATTCTGCTTGTCCAGCTCGCTGATTATTATCTGCATGTTTTCCTGAAGAGAAACAAAATACCTGTAACCTCAACGTTTTTGGCAATTATTCTATAAGTATCATACAATGATAGGGTAGTTAAATGTAGGATATATTTGTATTTCTTAGCTAAATATGATGTCTGATGTCTTAAACATTGATTTGTACACCGCCATTGTCTCCTTCATTAACATTGTCTCACCCATCTAATTTACCCATCATGGGGTTTGATGGGTAAATTTAAAGAGCGTCGAACAAATAATTACCGCGCCGCGTAACAGTTGATTTCTATTGTGTCTCGAAGGCTTCTCGGGGCTTAAACCAAACCAAATAGGGAAACAAATCTTCGAGAAATAGAAAACATAGCTGCGTATCACAAAGCAGGGTATATGAAAGCTGGAAAACATACGTGCTTGAGATAGTCCAGGAAGTGGTCGGTGATCTTGACGTCGTACTCGGTGGAGAAGTCGAACAGCACCACGCGGCCGGCGCGCATGCGAGTCATGGCGGCGCTCTGCTCGTAGAACTTCCACGTCAGCACCAGCGACAAGTCGCGCGAGTTTATCACTGCCTACAAACAGTACATAAACTTCTTTCTACTAGTACACGACAAGATTCCACACCCTCTGGGCTATAGTTCTAGCGCTAACTGAGTCAATGCCTGAGGTAATTATGTCAGCGGCACGGGACGGTGTTTTTGCGCTGTCAAATGTTTTAGATGTGCTTCACGCGAGATTTTAGATGTGCTTCAGATTTGTATACTTTGCCATGTCATAATAGGTCGATGTCACCTCTCCCGTGCCGCTTCCATACCTATGTCTGACTGACTTAGTTAAGCGACCTATAAATGTTAAAGTTAAGTACATAGTTTATCGTATCCGTTATAATACGACCAAAATTGCGCATGCGCATCATCGCCGCGCTCTGCTCATAGAACTTCCACGTCAGCACTAGGGACAAGTCGCGCGAGTTTATCACAGCCTGGAAACGATAGCCACTCACTAGCACAATCTAGAAACTTCTTCCTGATAGAACACGACAAAATTCACATCCTCTCGACTAAATGTGATTTAATTTTGTCTTTGTACATGACTAGCCACGCCCCCTTTAGTCTCTTGGACTAGATTATGATTTATCGTAAACCATTAGAATACGATCAAAACAAATACAGTCACTGCGGGCGCCCGTCGCACAGTCGCGACAGCAATATAATTACGCGCGAGCGATAAGGATGGGTAGCTAGGGGTCATTGGACAAAATTCTACGTGCTCACGGACCAGGCCTTAGTAGCATAACAACCTCGTCAGACAGCACCACCGTCCCGATGTGCAGCGTAAAGATGCATTTCGGAGTGAAAGCATCCCCGATGCGCGGCGAGCCCGCGGCTCTCTTCAGAGCGATGGGCCCGGGGCACAGATCTACCATCAGGGACGCGTCCTTTGTAGGCGGCTTGGTCTGGAAGAGAAATAAAAACCTCATAAAACTCATTTATTTTTGCAAATAGGTTTTTAAAAAGCACTTTTACACGTCCAAATATTAACCCTGTCACTGCTTCGGGACAATAAATGACTTGTAAGATTCAATCGCTGAGGTTACTTACAACGACTCTCCTAAGTGTTGGTTCTATCAATGAGGATTTTCGCGATTGAAAAATCCGCCAGATGGCAATACATAGACGCGAGGTCCAAATGCTGCATGATTGGTTATTTTTGACATGACATTGATAGATATGTCAAAATCCACCAAACACGCAGCATTTGGACCTCGTGTCTACGTATTGCCATCTGACGGATTTTTCAATCGCGAAAACCCTCATTGTCGTAAGATTTCGGCATGAGCGATTGCAACACATAGAAATACGCTAGTAGCCTCTCACCCGTTGTCTTAGGTGAATGACAATAAACGCAACAACGAAAAATATCCAGAAGTCGTTTAATATACCTAATAGTGGCCTACGTAGATGCGTGTCATGTGTCATTATGTCACGTAAAGTATTGGTCGCATTGCCTCGTATCGCGTCGTTTTGTCGCGTCCCGTCGCGACGCGTCGCTTACTTAGGACAACGGGTCAGAAGACTCAGAAGCGATATGAACGCAGAATAGGGACAGGTCTACTATCAAAGCATCAAAATCAACACTTTTTTGTTAGGCCTGCTATACACGGACAGCTTGAAGCTGTCGGATACTAGCTGCTTCAAACTGTCCGTGTATGGCGGGCCTTAGGGTTTGGAGCTGTTTCTAAGATTTAATATTATAGCAGCATATTGCTATTAACAACCCAAACATCTATCTGCTGAGAGATTTGACACAATCAACCAGCTTCCTTGTTATAGCTGATAAGCTGACCAACCACTTTATAACTAGAAAGCTATTAAAATAAATATGAATACATACCATTTTTAAGGACATCCCATGCAAGACATGTAGCAATGATATGTATAATGTCAAATCGAATACCATTTACTACGTACACTTTACGGAACTACAAATACTACTCAAGCCAAGGTTCACAAAAATAAAACGCAAATTAAAAAAGATATTTCGCATTTATTTAGTATTTAAAAGGACGGAATATATTGAAAATTCACTTTGGTGAGAAAAATAGTTTACATACTAGCGTTAGATATTTAAATAATATGAGACAGATCTAGGTCAAATATGTATTTTTATGTAGTTCTATTATTAAAACATAAACTACTAACGTATACATTTTTTTCTTATATTTAAAGGAGGACAAGCAGTCTTTATATTTTTAAGCTTTAACATTTAACAAAAATATTAAATAATAACTACATAAACTTGAGTCATAGTGACTAGATTATTTTCAAATACAATTAAACTTAACACGTAAATAAAGAATAACTCCCACGCAAAACAAATATGTAGTAACTTCACAAGGCGACTATAGAAGAAAATTAAATTTTAACCCAACAATTACATAATATTACTGAAATATAAATAGAATGCGTTTGTATCTACTATCAAATACGAAGGCAAATTCAAAAATACATTTTCATCAAACTAAACTAGACGAGGTACTTCATAAATTCACTTCTGTAATACCACCACCTGTATAATCTACACTACAAACTAAACTACGGACTAAAACTATGTCTAATAAATGCTACAGTCAAACTAGTCATAGTTTTTTGGAATTTTCATTAAAATTAATAGCAGGCCCATATACGTAACAAAAACTTAATATTATATCCAAGTAAGTAAATAATATTGTTTGGAAATAGTCCAAATCAGAAAAAGTGACTACATGACACCAAACACGAGAAAAAACTCTATTCAAGAGTAATAAAGACTGTCGCCGCGCCGTAACAACAAAAAAAATTTTTGAATCTGAATTCAGAAGAAAGGCATCCATTGATGTCATAATGGTTGCCTCTTTTACACTCCAGAGTAAGGAAGAGCCGAATTCCGAATCCAGTAGTGTCATGTACCCCAGTATAGATGAACTACACTGAACTGTCCCACCAAACTCATTGACAGGGAGGCGCCACCCACCATTGTTCAACTATAGTTTGTAAAGGCCTATTCAAACCTGAGCGATATTCGCTGCCGCTGTGGGTAGAGGTACATACCGCGCGGGTTTCGCTCAGGTATTCAGTATCAAGTATCGCGGCTAGAGCGACCTGAGCGATATTCGCTGCCGCTGTGGGTAGAGGTACATACCACGCGGGTTTTGCTCAGGTATTTAGTATCAAGTACCGCGGTATATAGAGTGTTTTCTCTGCCGCAGACGGTAGCGAATACCGCTTAGGTCTGAACAGTATTATTACCGCATACCCACTGGGTTTTCTCTGCCGCAGACGGTAGCGAATACCGCGTAGGTCTAAATAGGCCTTAACATGGCAAAAATTGGAACCAGCGATCCAGTATTGACGGTGGCGCCCCCTGTCAATGTAACTGATGGGACGGTTCGTTGTAGTTGGACAATATACGAATAACCGCTCGTACACTTCACATCACATCCCCAAGCAGGCCCTGGATTGGAACCCCCAAGGAAAACGCAAACTTAGTCGCCCCAAGCAAACTTGGCGGTGCACTGTGGCAGACGAGGCGAAGAAGATCGGCAAGACTTGGAGCGAGATCAAACACATAGCTCAAGACCGAACGCGATGGAGGACTGTTGTGGACACCCTCTGCCCCATCTAGGGGACATAGGACCATAAGTCAAGTAAGTCAAGCTTGTACACTTCAGTACAAGGCAAGGCGGGTCACCTCGACAGCGCTGCGCGCGTGAAGCAGGTCGCGGCACAGTGCTAGTTCCTCCGTAATGGCCGCTAGTGCCTCCTCCATACGCGCGGCAGGCGGCGCTGCGAAGGTTCTGCGATGGAAAATGGATTATGAGGCTGAGAACTTAAGGAGCAATTTTCAAAAGCGCTCGTCACTCACTGCAATGTGAATGTGAGAAGTACCGCCAAACAAATTTCTTTTCTGCTCAAAGGTAAACTGGTCGAGAATGCTTTAGTACATTAAGTTCGCCTTATGTACAAATTAATTTTGGCATTAAAGTTTAAATAAATAAATGTGACGTGACCGAAACATTTGTTTAAAATTATTGTATTTGTAAATTGTCTTCAAAGAGTACTTACTGTTTCTTGTCTTTAAGGTCGACTTTTGCTTCTCCATCTGATAAGTTTGGACCTGTAACATTTAAAGTAGAAAAACATTATTTATTTATTTTATTTAATCGAACACTCCAGATTGATTTTTGATTAAAAATCCTGGGTGACTTGATGTGACCACTGATAACTAAGGTTGAGATGCACCACCTAACTTTGACCGTAACTATAACCGGTGTTTTTTTTGTATGGAGTTTGACAGATTTTTGACGTTTGTCAAAGTTAAAGTAAGGTGGTGCAACCCAGTCTAAATGTAATATAGTTACCCTGCGCCTAAGTTATCAACAAAAAGTCTTTCATTCTAGCGATTTAAAAAATCTGAATCTGAATGAATGACAGCTGTCATTTTACTTACCTCCCCCCGCACCAGGTAGCTCCCCCTCGCTGAGCGAGCTGTAGGCCGTGGTGGAGTGCGGCGAGTATGATTCAGTGTAGGTGGACGTCGTCTTCTGCTCGCCTGGTGACCGCGCCGAGCGGGGGGACTTGCCTGGAATTGACAAAAACACATATGGGGGCGTCCATTAATTACGTGAGACGTTTAGGGGGGTGAGGGGGTCATGAAAAACCTCACTAAATCTCACGTAGGGGAGAGGGGGGGTCTCGACAAATATCACGTAATTTTTTTCAGCAAGAAAAAGGGTCAAATTGCGAGAAAACTGGGTTATAATTAAAAAAAAATGTTTTAAGATAGATAATTATGATTAACTAGCGGCCGCCCGCGACTTCGTACGCGTGGATCCCGTTTTACCCCCTTCATCGATATGTATCTTACGCGGCTTAGATTTTTTCATACAATTTTTTTTTCCGCTAACTCCCGTTCCGGTGGGAACTTTGCAATATCCTGTTGTAACTAAGCTTTAAGTTTACTAAGGTACCTGCATGCCAAATTTCAAGCGTCTATATTACGCGGTTTAGATTTTTTCATACAAATGTTTTTTCCCGCTAACTCCCGTTCCCGTGAGAATTTTGCAATATCCTGTTGTAACTAAGCTTTAAATTTGCTAAGGTACCTGCATGCCAAATTTCAAGCGTCTATCTTACGCGGTTTAGAGTTTTTCATACAAATGTTTTTTCCAGCTAACTCCCGTTCCCGTGGGAATTTTGCAATATCCTGTTGTAACTAAGCTTTGAGTTTACTAAGGTACCTGCGTGCCAAATATCAAGTGTCTAACTTAAGCGGTTTAGATTTTTCATACAAAAGGATATTCCCGCTAATTCCCGTTCCCGTGGGCATTCTTAAGTATCCTATAACCTGCCCAGGAGTATGAAGAATAATTGTACCAAGTTTCGTTAAAATCCGTCGAGTAGTTTTTGTTTCTATAAGGAACATACAGACAGACAGACAGACAGACAGACAGACAGACAGACAGACAGACAGACAAAAATTTTACTGATTGCATTTTTGGCATCAGTATCGATCACTAATCACCCCCTGATAGTTATTTTGAAAATATATTTCATGTACAGAATTGACCTCTCTACAGATTTATTATAAGTATAGATTATTCAATTTTTTATTCTAAACCGTCTGACAATAAAGAAATTAGAAGAAACAGTTTTTTTTAATATTAAATCCTAATCCTAATATTACCCATTTACATTGCAAATATGTATTTTAAGAAATCTCACGTGAGATTGTGGGGAGGGGGAGGGGGTCTGGAAAAATCTCACCAAATCTATCAAAGAGGGCGGGGGGGTTGAAAAATTGCAAAAAAATTCTCACGTAATTAATGGACGCCCCCTATGTACAGCGACGATCGTTGACGCTCGGATTCGCGTTTGGCGGGCCTTCTTTTTGAATAAGGCCGTTGGAAAAAAGCGCGCTCTGCCAGCGCGCTTTTTTCCAACGGTCACCGCGTATTGTGCTTTTCTAAACTCGACCTTATGGTCAGTCCGCCCATGGCCGCGACGCGCGCGAACAAACTTTCTATGTTTTGGCTGTTAAATCACTATATACTGATTACAAGTACTATTTGTGTTATATTTCGATTTGTGGAGGACATTAAATGTGTCTGTGCCTTTGAATCGTGCTTTGGACTGTCATTTCACGACCCCGAGTACGAAAGAACTAACTTTATACATATTTATAAGCGAAAACTGTCTTTCTTTTGTTATGTCTGCTATAAGTACAAAGTAAGGGAGGAGATGGCGACGAAATTCAAAGATTGCAACCACCCGTGACTTAACGATTAGGAGCATAGGTTGATGTCATGAACTGTGTACATTTTCCGTGTCCAGATACAGGCACAGCTCAAATATGTGTAGGCAATGATAGCTTTGCTGTCATGATTACGCAGCAAAGGTGTGCTATCGACGCATGTATGGCCAACGGCGCATCAAACCAAATATTGTGTCATTAAGTTGTAAAAGAAATTATTCTTCATCAAAAATGTATTGTCTGAAGGGCTACTCCAAAACACTGTTTACGTAGTTTTGTTTTATCTGCCGCCGTAACTCACGCTGGCATCTTGCTTTCCGTGAGAGGGATGACAATATACGTTAACGTTTTTCGGAATAACCCCCCTATTGTACCGCCGTCTGTAAAACAGAATAATAATAAGTACTACGTTTCTATTATAATTCAGACAGTTAAAATATTGCACAGTATTAATTACACCCGTTTTTACATTAGTTTAATATTGTCTTTACAATGCAAATGGGTGAAGAATACACGTGCGTGCGTCAATGCTCGCTCGTGATTGTCCTGTCGATTAGACATCTCAGGAGGTGTAGTCGCGCGTGTTTTGTTTTCGATGCAAACTCGCGGAGATGAACAGGCCTGACTGTACTACGAGTAGTACTTACCGTCCCTCTCTGAAGGTAGGTCAGTCAGCGAGGATATCTCGCAGTCGGTGTTGTCGGGCGAGCGCGGCGGCACAGGGTAGGTGTGGCCTCTGCTATGCGTCGCCTCGGGCTCCACTTGAGTCCCTGAAGTTGACAATGAAGGAATATTCATTAGTCCGAACCAGAACAATTATGGACCAATATATCAAAGTACTCGGAGTTTCCCTGCGTGATCGAATCAGAAATGAGGAGATCCGCAGGAGAACCAAAGTAACCGACATAGCTCGCAGAATTGCTAAAATCAAGTGGCAGTGGGCGGGGCACATAGCTCGTAGAGACGATGGCCGTTGGGGCAGGAAAGTTCTCGAGTGGCGACCACGGGCTGGAAGACGTAGCGTGGGCAGGCCTCCTACTAGGTGGACCGACGATCTGGTAAAGGTCGCGGGAAGAGCCTGGATGCGGGCAGCGCAGAACCGTTCATTGTGGAAAACCTTGGGGGAGGCCTTTGTCCAGCAGTGGACGTCATTTGGCTGATACGAATATCAAAGTAAGGTGGAGTAAGGTAATATGATTTACCTTTGTAATTATTTCAACTTGTACTAATCTTAAACTCTATTAATAACTATATCCAACAATAGGACCGTGGATACGCTAATCATTGACATACATAAGGTGATTTTCTAATATGGGTTTTGTACGGCTATGGAGAAATCACTACGACTACGGTCTCCTATTAAACGCTATACGAGGCATCCGACGTCAGCATCAAAGGTTCCTATCGCATCTGAACGCCGAGTCGCCGACGTCAACGTCTGGAGAAGACCACAACAATACATTTCTATAGTAAGGATCCATGGGTGAAGTTGATTGACTGTTTCATAACTTAGGTGATTTCAAAGCTACTAAAAATATTATTTTACAAACAATAAATTGAAAACTAACATGGTTTAAAAGACTAGAACAAACAGTTTTAAGGAAGTTATCAACTATTTTTTTTTATGTGACAGGAGGCAAACGTGCAGACGGTTCACCTGATGGTAAGTGATTACCGTCGCCCATAGACACCCGCAGACCCATTATTAAAGCTACCCTACGGTTCTCAAACTAAATTTCTCAACTGACCAGCAGTCAAAAACTACTACTCAACAAAGTAAACCTTGTTCACACGTCCCAGCGTTTTCTTCTTTAGCGGCGCACGCGCAGCGTTTGAAAGCGGCGGCGGGCGCAGTGCGGAAGCGTAGCGTGCCCGAGCACGTGCGGAACACGGCCACGTCGCGTCGTTGTGCGCCCGGGCACGTGCACGCTCGTGTATGGTGCAGACACAGCTCTACGTGCAAGGAAAGTTAAGGGAAAAGGGACTTTTTTATGCAGAACAAAGCAGGTATTTGACTGCAATCACACCTGACGTGAAGTAAGACAGGGCCTTCTTTCCCACTCGGCACTTTGGGTGCGTACCCAGGGCCCTGCTACCGAGGCCCCCTATCTGCTCAAAAGAGCTTTTTCTAGATAATAAGGGCCCCCTTGATCCCTAAGATCCTTAAATGCCCAAGGTCTCTAGTAAGTAGGTTAAAGACGGCCCTAAAGTAAAATGCAGTCTAGGATGGCACATACCTGCCCTGTAAGTGCCTAATATTCACTCTCGCCTTGAAGAGGCCCGGATCCGGCTCTTGGGGTGAGTGAGTTAGTTATTTGAACATACGACAGCACTGCAGCTTATACAATTTTATAGCCAAAAATTTCTCTTATTACAACGGCGCACGCGCAGCGCTTGAAAGCAGGTTTTAGGCAAGTAGTGGCCTAATAGTAGATTAGAGATAGATTGGCAAACAAGCACACTTTTAATTTTTTTTATGTATCCTGAATGTTTTTATAACTTACCAATTACTTTGCTGTCTTCTGCTTCCGGTTTCTTGACTTCTGGCAAAATAAGCGTACTCGATGTCCCAACTCTCTCCGGATCTTTTTCTATATACTTCTCCATCAAACTACTCATGGGCATTGGAGCCTTGCCTGAATGGACAGATTCTTTGCCGTTCGTTGCTTGAACTTTTCCACCCTCTACGCTATCAATTGCTTGTATAGTTGCATCTTTCAGATTCAAATTAGTCATAGTCGAATCTTCTACAATATTTTGTATGCGCAAAGGAACTTCGACGTTATCGTCTTTTTTAACATCAAAGCCTTGTAGCTTATTGATTTCTCTCGCTCTTACTACCTCTTTAGTTTCCTTGTCTTTTTTGGGTTTAACGCCATTTCTCTTCTTGAACTTATCAACGGCTTTATCAATTATAAAAGTTTTTCCCACAGGCAATGGTCCTGGTATTTGAAGGCTGTTGTGCGAGTCCTTTTTAGTGTGCTCAGCAGACTCTGCCGTAAGGTCAGAGCGAATCTGTTCAACGTTTTTGCTAACAAACGAATGTTTTTCCTCTTTATCGATCACGGCATTGACACTGTAAAAGTTTATGGTCATTAAATTAAAGCCATAAAAGTCATTTATTTTCTGTAAAGAGGTTTTATAAAGCGTTTTACACGTCTCAGTATTACTTTAACCCTACCAATGCTTTGGGACAATAAATGGACCGGTGCTGAGAAGAAGCAGCGCACGAATGGTAGATTTTTTTTTTCCCTATAGATCTAGCGCATAGGTGATTTTGACTATAGTCACAGAATAATAATAAGTACTACGTACAGAAGTTTTACCTCGCGAAGGTATATAAAAAAATTTATGCTCAATGTCATTAACAATATGGTATAATTTAGCCTGTCTCAAGAGTCAATCACCATTTTGTTGACAAACGTCAGTGATCGGCACTGCGCCGAAGCTATAGGGCTGACTTCGGTAAAATGATGTGACGTGAGGTGCCAAACTGCGGAAAATGGCGGAGGAAATACATGATTTAGCATGAATTATCATGAATAATATTAACTACTTATTTACCTCTCAGTGTCTTGAGGCAACTTAAAAAAGTACATTCTGTGTTTTTATTATTATCTAGGTAGTTAAATACTGCACAGTATTTAGTACTGTTCGCTCGTATGTGAGGCTTTGTCGAATCGTATCCTGTAGGTGGGCCATCGTGCGTGTTTTGATTTCGGTGTAAACTCGCGGAGATGAACAGGCCTGCTATAGTATAGATCGTTTCATCCACGAAGACGCGCCCCACCAACTTTTGGTCGAGGGAAGCGGGGTGCGGGGAGTTTGATCCGAGCAATCCAAGCGTCATTATTGTAGTGTGCGTGTGCACTCGTGGATAATTTAGCGTGTACCGATAACAATCAAACATTAACGGAAGAATGGTGGGGCGTCTTCGTGGATGAAACGATCTATAATTATATTTATTTACCCTTTTACATCAAGCGCGAGCCTCTTGTCTAGTATTGTATTTTTTCTCCCAGCGAGTCGTTTATTTTTGAGCAATGGAGTCTTCTGCTTTTCTTCTTTAACCTCGCGTGCAGGCGACTCTACGACCCTGTCCCGATCGGGAGTCGTCACGTCAGACGGCTTTGATTTGGAGTATGAAGCTTCCTGTATGAAGAATTTAAATTGATAATGATAAAAAGCTAACAACAAATATGATTATTTAACACTAGCGGCCGCCCGCGACTTCGTACGCGTGGACCTCGTTTTACCCCCGTTAGATATCATGTTGATAGATGGCGTTTCACGGCTTCCCCCGCATAAATATTTACGAACGTCAAAAACAGTAATTTGTACAGCGCTGTAGATTTTAACCAATGACGATAGATGGCGAAGCATACAAGTCGTCACTGGTGAGCGCTAAAGTGGTAGGAGGACTATCGCATTTGCACTCATCAAGATGGCGCCACTGTAGAGTAAGGTCCTGTCACTTGCTAGTAGCGAAGACAGTGGCACCAACTGGTGAGCGCTAAAGTGGTAGGAGGACTATCGCATTTGCACTCATCAAGATGGCGCCACTGTAGAGTAAGGTCCTGTCAATCGCCAGGGGTGCCAACTGTTAAGTATAAAAACGATAGCCCTCATTGAAATTCAACAATAAATCGGTTCTAACCTCCAATACAATCCCATCTTCATCATCACGTTTATCGTTGACGTCTATCGCGGGAGAGTCAGCCATTCTAGGGCCCGAGTCGTAAGCTTCAAAGTAGAATGATTTGCCAACTCTTTCCTTGGGCACTTCAGATGCCTCTCCTTGTTTCATCTGAAAATAAGAACATTGCAATGTGGGAACCAAGAGCCAGTTAATAAAAGATGTTACGGTCTAGCGCTTAACGAGAGCAGTGCCTTAGGTATGGCAGCGGCAAGGGACTTGACTTAAAATCAAAATCAAAATTTTCTTTATTTGTTTAGACTAATTAAATTAGTTCTTGCAAATCGTCAAATGCTCTTAAGGAGCCTATACATGTCTCATTCTTTTTTTGCCCTACCAGCTCTTCGAGACAAACATTTGGCAAGTGCTGAGAAGAAGCGCCGCAACAAACTCAGTCACCACTGTCTGCCGGTTTAAAAATATAAAAAAGTAGGAAGTTACAATACATTCGGAAGCAAGTTACTTACCACGCGCTCCCGTTGATAGAAGGTGGCCTTTAAGACGCCCATCTAGCACGAGACCGCGTGGCAGTTTTGAATATATTTATTTAGTGCCGTGCTAATTTCTAGGTTAATTGTTGCGTTTTGATACATATATATTTTATGTCAGGTATATCTTTCCTTGACCAGTCCCCGAAGGCAGCGCCTGTTCACAGACATGACGTGTGAACCAGCCATCGCTTCACTCAACCATATTATAGGGAATGTAACGACCCGCCTCACACGCCACTACCCCAGCCAGAGACATTTTAGTGAGCATGACAAGTCTAAGATATCCTTCTGGCTAAGGTCCTATGTCCCCTAGATGGGGCAGAGGGGGTCCACAACATTCCTCCATCGCGTTCGGTCTTGAGCTTCGCGTTTGATCTCGCTCCAAGTCTTGCCGACCTCCTTCGCTTCGTCTGCCACAGTGCACCGCCAAGTTTGCTTGGGGCGACCACGTTTGCGTTTTCCTTGGGGGTTCCAATCCTGCCTGCTTGGGGATGCGATCGGAATCCCTTCGGAGAGTGTGGCCAATCCAGTTCCAATGAGGGCTATCGTTTCAGCGCTCACCAGTTAGCGCCACTGTAGAGTAAGGTCCTGTCACTTGCTAGTAGCGAAGACAGTGGCACCAACTGGTGAGCGCTAAAGTGGTAGGAGGACTATCGCATTTGCACTCATCAAGATGGCGCCACTGTAGAGTAAGGTCCTGTCAATCGCCAGGGGTGCCAACTGTTAAGTATAAAAACGATAGCCCTCATTACGGCGCTTGATCTACTGGTCGATCGGAATTTCGTGGCAGCGTTCCAATCGCTCGACCCTGGAGATTTTCTCGGGCGGCAAGGGAGGGGTAACAATAACATATTATGACGTGACAGAGCATACAAATCTCAGGCACAATTGATATCTCGCTGACGTTTGACGTCACAAAAATACCCTCCCGTGCCACTCATACCTCAGGCACTGACTGAGATTAACGCTAGAACAATGGTGATATCATATGACATCTATTACGGTAGTATGTGGTAGAGATGGATTATACTAGGTAAATTTGATACTAGGTGCACCTATTCCTAGTATTTATTAATACTCGATCCAAATACCTATTCCACTTAGTACGTAGTAATTTAGCATACTTGACGCGACTAGTGCGGACTAATCCACGTAATATGACTTTAAAATACAATTTGTTGTTGGTTGTTGGCGTATTTAAAATATATCAATTTCATAAAAATATTTACATATTTTTTTGTACATGAATATGGTTTGACTACGTTTATGTGCGTTTGCTTCGTCGCGCTCAAATTTGTTTGGTCAGACAGAGACGGAGTGAATCTCTACGTTCGCACATAAGCTTAGCGAGAAATACTCGGTGCGCGTAATACACGACTACGGATTACGCAATAATAACCTCTATTGCTTTGACAGTAAGGTCGGAAATCGTGTAATTTATAAAATACTAGGTGGATCAAGTATTTAAAAAAATGGAATAGGTGCCGCTTAGTACTGTAAAATACCTAGTGTGTGGATCTGTACTAGTAAATACGTCTCATCTCTAGTATGTGGGTGGCGCGTAGACCTATAACATCAATAGAGATGAAAGCGTGTTGGATCGACTATAGGGCCGACTAATGATGCAGCGATCATACTCTATTGTTAATGAATGAAACGTTGAATGAATACTCACTACAGACAGAATCTCATCCATTTGTTGTTGCAGATAAGCTATTCTATTTTTCAGCTCATCATCCATGCGAGTAATCGTCTGAAAAAGTACAATTTTGTATTGTTAAAAAATGATTATATGTGAAAATAATATTTAGACAAATATAAAGCCGAAAATCACTTATTCATTAGTTCATTCACTCACTCACTGACTAAACACGAAATCTCTAAAACTACTTGACCTAGGCTAGGCGCGCACGGGCGAATTTTTGCCGTGACAATGTATCTCTCTTTTGCACGTATAACACATATAATAGCACCGTGACAGTATGTCCCTTTGTTTCTCTCTTTAGGCTGGTTTTAGTGTCACGCGGACTGTCAGTGCGGATCGCTCCGCACAGCCGATCTGTATGAACTGCTAGGAAGCGGAGCGGTTCCTCCGGAGAGAGAGACGAAGAGAGAAACAAAAGGGACATACTGTCATGGTGACAAAAGTCACTCGTGCTCGCCTAGGTTTATTCATCTAAAAAATCGTTTCCTCGACTTCAAACAAACTTTGTCGCGAGGATCCTAGTCTAATCTTAGGCCGTTTACAGAAAGAAAGCTAGAAACTTATAAGCGCTTACCGGCGCTTGTCAGCGCTGGTCCGTTCGTTCACAAAGGAAGCAAGTTGAATGGCATCGGCGCGCGTTCATATACTTTCCTGCGCGGGTTACCAGCGCTGACAAGCGCCAAGCGCAAGTTTATAAGTTTCCAGCTTCCTTTATGTATACGGTAAGCCTTACCTTAAGATCTAAGTAAAGCCCGGTCTGTGAGCACGTAGAATTTTGTCCAATGACCCCAAGCTACCCATCCTTATCGCTCGCGCGTAATTGTATTGCTGTCGCGACTGTGCGACGGGCGCCCGCAGTGAGTGTGCGAGCGCGACAGCAACATAATTACGAGCGCGCGATAAGGATGGGTAGCTTGGGGTCATTGGACAAAATTCTACGTGCTCACAGACCAGACTTTAGCTAAGGTTTATGAAAAGTAAATAAATACCTTCTGGTCGGCCGCAACAGGGCTCTTATAAGCGTCGATGTACCCCGAATCGTTGGACAGCTTGGACAGCCGGTGCTGGTCCGCCTTCTCCGTGGACTGGTCCTTGTCTGAAGGCTTGTCAGTCGCTTCCGAAGGCTGGCCGGCCGTCTCACTGGGCACTTCTAGCTGGGGCACTTCTAACTGAGGCACTTCTAGCTGAGATGGGAATAGCATGAATAAAATTAGTTCTAGGGTATAATTGATTTTGATGGACTTGAAGTGAGGGATTTCATAGAAAGATAAATAGGTATATTCTTTTTTACACTCACTAAATTATTGCAACACTAGCGGCCGCCCGTGACTTCGTACGCGTTGACCTCGTTTTACCCCCTTAGAGGTGGTTTTTGTTGATAGATGGCGTTTCACGGCTTTGCCCTCATGAATATTTACAAACGTCAAAAGCATGTCGCTAGATGGCGCTTTTATAGATATTTCTCACCTCTTATCTATTTATTGAAATTTAGTTTGTCACAATATTTATTATCGTCATAAATTATAGCCTATAGTATGTTATTCTGAGTCATAAACAATAATACTGTAGTTTCATCAAAATCCGTTCAGTAGTCCTGAAAGAGTAACAAACATGTTGACATCCAGACATCCATACAAATTTTCGCATTTATAATTTGAGTAGGATTTGCAACCATTCCAACAAGGTACTTTTATGTATAGTATAGAGATGTGCAGCTGAAGCAGAATTCCGAGGTTGATCGGCTGATGAAAAACTTTCATACATACCCGAGGTGAAGACTCCCATCGCGGAGTGTAGAAAGGCGAACCTCTTGGCTCCGTTTCTTCATTTTCGATTTCATTCTTCATTTGCTGAAATTTTTTAAAACATTGACATTTATAAGGCAATTTATTAACTTGATTTTTATTTGTAGTCATTAAAATTTTGCTATGAAGATAAATGTTTTTGTGCTCAACAGTTGGCACCACTGGCAAGTGACAGGGCCTTACTTTACAGTGGCGTCATCCTGGTAAGTGGAAATGCTATGCATCTGCTAGGTACCGCTTCAGCGCTTCACTAGTTGGCACCGCTATCATAGCTAGCCACTAGCGACTGACAGACTCTACAGTGGCGCCAAATGGAAATGCTAAGACTTTTAGAAATCATTAGGTAAGGCCAATTTAGAAATCATTAGGTAAGGCCTATGTTCAGCAGTAGCTGAATCATGAGGCCTTTTAAAGTTAAGTATAGTCTTTAAATAATGGTTTAAAGTTTAATGCTTGATCCACATAAACAAGATATCAAGCTTACACTGGAGCTGTTGAGGTGGTCCTGCAGCGTCTTGGAGACGGCGGCGGCGCGGTCGGCGGCACGCACGCGTGTTTCTAACTCTGCTACCTTTCTCTTCTCGATCGAAAGCTCCGTTGACACTTCGCCTGTGAAAAATAGAAAATCTATACTTATAATAAATCTGTAGAGAGGTCAATTCTGTACATGAAATATATTTTCAAAATAACTATCAGGAGGGATTAGTGATCGATACTGATGCCAAAAATGCAATCAGTAAAATTTTTGTCTGTCTGTCCGTCTGTATGTTCCTTATAGAAACAAAAACTACTCGACGGATTTTAACGAAATTTGGTACAATTATTCTTCGTACTCCTGGGCAGGTTATAGGATACTTAGGAATTCCCACGGGTACGGGAATTGGCGGGAAAATCATTTTGTATGAAAAATCTAAACCGCTTATGTTAGACACTTTGAATTTGGTATGCAGGTACCTTAGTAAACTTAAAGCTCAGTTACAACAGGATATTGCAAAATTCCCACGGGATCGGGAGTTAGCAGGAAAAAAACATTTGTATGAAAAAATCTAATCCCATCAAAAACAATACTTGTCAAAAAAAACAAGTCTCGCAACTCAGTTGTTCTACGGTAAAAAGTTGTGAGATCCATGTAATACCAAGTCCAGGCCAGGAAATCTTTAACGTTTTACATAAATTATTGACTTGGCCATCGCACTAAATAATTTAATTTACACGTGTTTTCATGCGATGGCCAAGTCAATATATTTATGTAAAACGTTAAAGATTTCCTGGCCTGGACTTGGTATTACATGGATCTCACAACTTTTTACCGTAGAACAACTGAGTTGCGAGACTTGGTTTTTTTGACAAGTATTGTTTTTGATGGGATCTCATTTCTTTTTGTATTTTGTAGACAGCAGTTATGAAATTGAAATTGAAAAATTTTACTCGACTTGGCGGTTGCACTACCGTGCCCCCAAATATTTTAGTTTTTCCTTGATTCATACACCAAACACTACTTATATTCCAAATTTGAAGCTTCTAGGTCTACTAGAAGTGCCTTAGAATTTTGATGATCGGTGAGTCAGTCAGTCAGTCAGTCAGTGAGTGACAAAATTAAGTAACTTTGACCCGTTATAATTCTTAAACTACTGGTTCAAATTAAATTAAATTTTTAATATACCGTGTCTTTACAATGCCTGCATAGCTAATGAAAATTCAGCCTTCTAGTTTTATCCACAACGAAGTTACAGGCGGTCGAAAATTGCCTGAATTGCTTCGAGAAAAGGATGGTACGGCCGTGCCGCTTTTATGCTCGACTTGGTGGGGGCACTGCCGTGCCCCCAGAACTGCTTAAGTTAGACGCTTGAAATTCGGCATGCAGGTATCTTAGTAAACTTAAAGCTTAGTTACAACAGGATATTGCAAAATTCCCACGGCAACGGGAGTTAGCGGGAAAAAACATTTGTATGAAAAAATCTAAACCGCGTAAGATAGATGAAGGGGTAAAACGGGATCCACGCGTACGAAGTCGCGGCTAGTACAGAATATAATTTGAATCTATTTCAATTTGTTGTTGTCTGTGATTCACGCACTAAGTAAAGTAACATTCGTGACAGATAGCCGAACGGTGAAGGGGTGACTCGTGATCCGGGGAACGCGGGTTCGGTCCCCGCCGCCGCTCGACTATCGTGGTGAGCTCACTCGTAATCCTACTAGTCCTACTAATATTATAAATGCGAAAGCTTGTGTGGATGTTTGTTACTCTTTCATGCAAAAACTACTGAACGGATTTTGATGAAACTTTGCAGTATTATTGTTTATAACCCAGAATAACATATAGGCTATAATTTATGACGATCTGTGACTAACTAAATTTCACGCGGGTGAAGCCGCGGGCAAAAGCTAGTACAAGCATATTTAGCTTAGTACGAGGGGCTAACGGCTTTTTTTAAAAAGATTCAACTCCGTAATCGCATCACGAAATTAAAAATTAAAATTGTCACCAATTTATTTTACGTGGTTGCTTCACTTTCGATGTTATCTGTGCGCGCTGTGTTCGCTCGCAAATGCATCCACTCGCATACTAACCGCACTTAGCTTCAGCATCCCTCAGCCGGCTCGCGAGCTGCTCAGCTTGTTGCGCGCGCGCAGTAAGTTCGTGGTCACTCGCGGCGCGCTGTGTTCGCTCGCGATCATTCGCCGCTCGCAGCTCGGACACTTCATCTTCAAGGCGGCCGATGCGGGTAGAATACTCGTTGTGAGTCTTGGAGAGTTCCTGAAAGTGTTTTAAATAAATATAAAAGTTTACAGTCAATAATAAAATACAAAAAACAGGACTAAATAATAAACTAATTACCTCTTGTAAATCGACGATTTTTTGTTTCAACTCTTCCATAAGACTTCGACATCTATTCTCATTACATAACGTCTCAGGGTTCTCTCTAAAATCATAAAAATAAGAATGAAAATTAATTAAGAATTTACACTTGAAAAAACAATACAAGTTGCAACCCACTTTTCTGGTTCTTCAGTTTCAGTCTCCACCGTCCTCGTTGATAACATAGGATCCCTACAATCAAAAGTTTCGATCAGTCGGTGGATGACCAAATAATATTTTAAATCAAAAGATTAACCATCATACTTATCAACAAAACGGGTGGATACTGCTGTTTTCACATTGCTATCACTTATCCTTGCATTTAATACACTCACAGATGAATTTCTGGAAAATACAATAATGTATTTTGATGTTGAACAAGCATCATTGCTTTACAGAAAATTCAATTTTAAAGACAAATTAAAACATTCAGGTTGATATATCATAAACATGTATTCCTAATATTATTATAAATCATTTGCATTACATGATTACCAGTTAACTTACTTCAGAGATGCTGGTGGCGCAGAGCACTTAGTACAACGAGAGACGGAGGTGGCAGGGCTTCGGCGGAGGAACTGTTTGGCCGAGCACAGCCTCATGTTCAGCACACGAATCCTCTCGGATAATCTTTCATTTGCTCTTTTCAGGTCTGCTATCCTGTTGGAATTAAAATAGGAAGTGTAACAGTACTAGGACGCATTACTAAAAAGGATGGAATAGTCAACGTCAACTTTGTTCCGGCATTTCTTCTCAGCACTTGCCATATGTTTGTCTCGAAGCGCTGGTAGGGCCCAAAAGATAAGGAGACATGTAAAGTGCCCCATAAGGGCTACCTTTTCTTTTTTTATTATTTACATTTTGACGTTCACAAGTGCCACTAAATATTTTTGATTTTGATTTCAACAATAGACAATAAACTGTTTAAGGTTTATTGTATTTGCACTTCTGCATTAATGTGACTAATTGACTGGAGCAAATATAAAATAAGTTGTTTCACAAAATTAAACTCACTAGATGCAAAATTGAAAATTATTAATTAGAGTGAGACAATGTTTCTCGTTGTTTAAAAAATACAATTTATTATTAATAACATTATTATTGTACAAAAAAGTGTGGATAAACACTTAAATAACATGGTTTTCAAGACTCACGATTCTTTCTGTTCGTTGACAATTGACTTTGTGTAAGTACAACAGTCTTTTTCTTTGGCCACATGGTTCTTGTTGGCAGCAGTCATTCTCTGCACTCGGGTAGACAATACTTTGATCTGCTCTTGCTGCCCAGTGACTGTCCGCTTTAGTTCCAAGTTGTTCTCCAACAGAGTGAAGTAGAGATCCTCCAGTTCTTTCTTACTTAGCTTAGACGGGCATACTCTGTATAACTCTATAATAAAATATTATTTTTTAATTTTTTTGTCATCTTTCAACTCTATAACCTTTTCGGGTAATAAATTTGATAATTTTGAGGTTTAATTCATTCATCAGGAAGCTCTTTCAGTGCATTTGATTGGTTATTTGCAAGTAGAATTTTGTTCAAAGTAGGTACAATGTAACTTACCTCGATCTGACCGGGCGGAGTGACTTTTACACATATCACGCTTAAATCCCTCTTTTTTTAGACCATTCATTATTCAATAGATGGTTTTATCAACCAAAACAAAACGGATGATAAACTTTTGATGCCATAAAATTTTAGCGAAGAATTAAGTTTGCATCACATCTGTCACGAAATTTCTTCATTGTCATGGATTTTTATCGACGAATTCTTAATTTTAACTTCATCTAGAATAGCTTTGATTGTGGAATATCACATTAACTTGAAAATATTAGGTACAGGAAAAACGAAAATGCCGCCATAGCAACTATTTTCACAAAACTGTCAACAACGTGAATCCGTCAGCTGTCATTGTATTTAAATTACGAACTATATAAATGAAACATTTGAGACGCTATTTAGTGAATCTTAAAGTCTATTTTGATTTAGCAAGCAAGGTGACATCTGATGCACAGATTATGGCTTTGGACATCGCAATATTGCACCATGTTGCATTCAAACTGTATGACCATCCATTTCATAAAATGTCTGACAAATAAACAATGCTATAGCCTGACCAGGAACATAAAAACCCTCGCCATGTTGCGGAAAACTAATGGTACTAATTTCTTTTAATGGCAACAGTATAGTTCCAAAATACTGAACTGTCCTATCGATGACATTGACAGCGGGGCGCCACCGTCAATACCGAATCGCTGGTTCCGATTTTTGCCATGTTGGAAACCATAAAGTTCAATGATGGTAGCGCCCCCCTGTCATTGAGTTTGGCGGGACAGTTCAGCGTGGGTCATCTATAACTGAANGGTTTGATATATTCTTTTAAAAACTGTTTTACTAATTCTGCATTATTATCAGGTAAATGTACTTCAAGAACCTTTTGTTTATCGCGCGAAAGGTTTTTGACTGAAAGTTCATTATCGAATCGTTCAAAGACTAATATTTGATTAGGTTTGTTATCGATTGCTTCGTTTAAGATTGGGATGCCTTGTGATTCGGTATCTTTTGCGGAATGAATAGTTTGTGAGTTATTTGATTGTTCATCGACACAGTCTGAATTATTTGACGACGGAATCGGATATTCTGAACCTAATTGTCTACTTCCTTCTGAGGATGTAGAGTCGGAAATTACTATTGTACTTCCTGATGATAATTTTTCTATTTTCTTTACTACTTTATCAACATGTTTTTGAATACGTTTTTCCTTTTTGCTAACATTTACTTTCATGGACTGATTATCTGAATCGAGAGCATTTACTTTTATGCGGGATAACGCGTCTGCGTTTGCGGCTGCGCCAGTCAGATTTCGGGAGCGGGGTGGAAGCTTTTTAAAAAGGATTATATTTAATTAAACTAAGTGATCACGTCCTCGCCGAGTTGGAGGCGATTTAATAATGATTTAATATTGTGGCCGATCGCAGTCGTCCAGTACGGTGTTTACAATTTAGTTCTGCTGACACATCTCTTATGTGAATAACAATTCTACGAATGCTTACACTGTAGAGTGGAAAGTGATGACTTATCTTGTTTAGTCTAGAGCAGAGGGAGCTGACGGATGCATAACTACCTACTCGTAGCAGACCGTAGCAAAAGTGACCGTTTTAAGTAGAAGACATAATAAATAAGCTACCTACCTTACTAAGGATTACCTACATTATATTTAAAAGCTAGACTTCAGCGGGATAATTGATTAGTTTTATCCAACTTCAAAAAAAAAGGAGAAGGTTCTATTTATCACCACAGGTCATCACTCAAAATACAAAAGAGTTTGCGATGAAAATCTGAACTTCTACGTCTTGCAGTCGGGCTAGCACTGAATGATTGATCACGCGATTTTATCGTTTCGTTTTAAAACTATTCTAGACATTTTACACAGAAGCGATAAAGAGTTTTTTTTTTCACTTTGAAGTTTTAAAATGTTCTTTAAGACCCAACGAAGAAGAAAGATACCGTGCGACAGCCATTTAAGCTTGAATGACTAAGTTTTAGGATAAAGAAATGTTTTAAACGCAAAGCAAAATCTTGTTGCGTCGTATTTTACCCTATTTTACCTATACTACACTCATACACGTTTGGGGAATATTATGTACCTATTTCACATTTTAAAAACTAAAAATAAATAATATCTAACTGCAAAACATGACGCTTCACTTTCCCGCCACCGAAGCTCGGCTCAGGCAGCCACAGATTACTTATCAGGCAGCTCGGGCGCGTAATGTTTTTCGCAGCACGTTCGTTACCGACCACAGATTAACGTCAGAGTTGGAGTTGGCGTGCAAACAGCCTAGCATGAAAAACCGGCCAAGTGCGTGTCGGACTCACGCACAAAGGGTTTCGTACTTCCGTATCTACCATTGATTTATGAATTATTTTTTTTAATTTAAGTTATTTGTATGAAAGATTACGCGGTAATAAGCGGTTTACGATTTTCGAGGTATTAAAAAAACTACTTACTAAATCTCGTTCAAAATAATTTTCGTTGGTAGTTTTTATAGTAGATAATGTACATCATATGNATGCATAACTACCTACTGTGAAGAAGTAATCGAAGAAACTCAGTCAACTTCGTCTTTTACTACAACAAACATGTGAATTAGGTACAAAAGTTTCAGTTTCAGAAACTTTAGGAATTAGAATGGAAAATATTTAAATTAGAAGACTTCAGACCGTAACCAATCTCAGTAAAATGAAGTTTTTATTCAAACAAATGCTACATGAACTGTGAATGAGTAGCCATTCAAAAAACCAACACCGATTTCCGTCTCGGTAAGTTTCAATACAATGTACCTACTGTGTCAATGTTTAGACATGTTATATGGCATCAATACCGCAATAATCCTCGATAACTGGGCAATTGTAAGCCGATATGATTGAGTTAAACTATTGGTTAATGTATCGGTGACGACTTGACGAGCGACTTACCCGTTGAGCCTTCGACCGACTGCGCAGTGAACACGCAATCACTTATGTTTTCTTGGAAGAAGTCATTTTTAAAAGAGCTACGAATTCGATTGTAAACAATACTAGAGGCGCAAAAGATGCACTTACCCGATTAAATGAGTTGATATGTCATATGTACTTTTAATGATTTCTACAATAAAAATTGTTCTTCTTACACTAAACTGACGATAAGGCACCTGATTTACCTATGTATGTGTTCTTGATTGTTAGCCATAAATGCCCGACAGTCATAGAAACTAACGGAAATATAAAATTACTAAAAGATTCCGATAGGATTGGTAACGTGTAAACGATATAAGCGTCGATTTGCAGTGTGCAGTGGACGCGATACGCTGCGCGGGCGCAACTCGCAGTCTTGTGGTGACCGCAGCCGGGGTTAAGTTACGCGCCCGGCTGGTGAAATCGCTTACAGCTCTTATAGGCTTCCGAGCACTCTAAGTAAATAGGGTTCAATTTTAAACGATTTATATCGATCAAAGCAAATACCTAGTCGGATTAGCTGTTGACTATTACTTTGATCAAAAGTATTTAGCTCCCTCAGACTCTCTCTTACCTGCACACAGCTTGCATCTACTCTAAATGAGAAATGAAGTTGTTTACAGCTCACCATTGATCTGCTAGGGTCCATAGAACACACTAGAATAAGAATAAGAATAAGAAAAACTTTATTTGACACAAAAGAAAACAGAAAAACAGAACAAAGGGACTTAAAACTATACACGCATAATATTTTGTGCCAAAACTACTATTATCGTAAAGCAATGAGCCACGAGCGTCTGACTTAGCTCTATCAACGACATTACGTGCTCTGAAACTCGGGATCATATTCGTTTTCAGACAATCAGGTTGAAGAAAATCTTAAACAAACTTAAAACATCTCGGAGTCTAAGAGTCAAAGTCACATTAACCACCAGACCACATAGGCGTCTACGATCCTGCAAAATGTAGAGCACATCTGACTTTACTATTTTGCTACAAACTATCCCCTATTACAAAACACAATAAGGTCCCACATTGTCAAGCTCGGCATGCCGTCGTCTGTACCTATATGTAAGAACTTCTTTAATTTAAATGAACGGCTCTATGCTATAATAATTTATACTTTAATCGCTATGTTAAACGTTTTTTTACTTGCTTTTTCTACCCTCTACTTAGTTACTAAATTATCTTACAAGTAAACCTTAAGGCTGTACTTAGTCAAGTGTTAAATTCGAACAAAAATCGATATTATCATAAACAGACAACAGTAAAAAAGTGAGTCTAAGTTACATGGGACTTAAGTTACACGTCCTTAACACGCAACTGTAAGTAACACTAACCATTGTTTATGGTAACAATGACCTTGGTTATTATAAAATTGTAACAATAATGTCTCTCGTCGCTTTTCCTTTAAAAATAAAACAAAATGACTCAGAAAATACCTACAATTATCAATAAAACTACAACTGTCAGGAGAGGCTGATTAATCAAAGGTAATCAATACACTTAACTTCATTATCATCATCATCAAGCAAAATGCACAAAGTGCTAATAGTCTCTACATAGATAGTAAACAAAGTCACGCAGTCTGTCTGTAACCTCAAAATTCGTGACAGATTTTAATGCGATTTTCATCAATAGATAGAGTTCACAGGGAAGGTTTTGATGTACAAATTGTTAAGTTAGTAGATGTATGGAAAGAGATTGTCACCTAGTTGGCAATTATAGTAACTGAAACTTATAAACTTACTATGTTGTTAACTATTTCGTAAAGTAAGTTATAAAGAACTTACCTATTAGATCCGAGGAACTAACAATACGAGGCTATCTTATTACTTACTTTACAACTAATATGAAATGTATTTGTAAAATAAAATCTAACAATTTGATACAATTAGTGGCTTAATTATACTGAGCCGGGGTGAGAAAAGTTAGGTCGGCGTAATTATCGTTCTCTCCAATAAGTATAACATAAATCGCACGCACACGCCTTACGTCGACAGTCTACGTCGCGCCTAAACAATTTATTACAATGTCTATTCCATTGTAACCCCTATGTCCATCACGCTACGGACACGGTTACACAATAACAAATGTGGTGTAGTATGCTAGTGTGAGAGCATTGCCATATTTGCCGTTAATTCACTCATGAATAGTAAAAAGCCTGACTCCCGCTCGGGAACATTAATAGCCTGTTTTTGCCACCTACACTATGATTAATTCTTGTAAAACGGTTGTTTCTTGCTATTATTCAGTGTTTTGCAAAGTGTCTGCTACAAGTTATCTAGTTTTTTCATCTGTTTCGATCGTTTGAATCGGTTTCCAAGTCATTAGGCACGGAGGTGGATATGTACAGATGACAGCT